GCCCAGGACACTGCTCTGGAACTGGACTTGGGACACAGCGGTGATGTTCTCTTAAGAGTAAATAGGCGCAGCCATTCTCCTGCTTGGCTGACTCCTTCCCACTGCTGTAAGAGAACAGCCAAGCCCCTGTGTCATTTAAGGCTGCATCCCTGGCCCTGCCAACCATCCCAGCTATTTCCCCTTCACTCATCCTACCGAAGCCATGGTCTTCCCTTTAGTTCCTCAAATACATGTGCTGCTTCTCCTCTTGGGGCTCCACATGTGCTGTTCTGATCCTGGATTCCCAGGAATCCCTTCTCCTCATGCCTTCCCCTAATCAATTTCTATTCATATTTCAGAGCTCAATATCATTTTTCTATTCATGCTTCAGAGCTCAATACCATTGTGCAACATAGCCTCATCTGACCTCCAGACTAGACCAAGTCTCCCAGTTACACATGTTAGTAGCCCCTCCCCACTCCCTGTGCAATTAGAGTGGCAAACAATGACAAATTGTGTGATTGTTTAATATTTAATGCTGGACTCAACTCTATAAGGGTTGGCTATTGGTTCCTTTCAACACCTTGGCCAACACCTTGCTCACAGCATAATTATGTTTGTTGAGGGAAATGGATACATAGTAACTCAGGGTTAGATTGGGTTGCTGTCCTGTGTGTTTTTGGGTGTGCCCCTTTCCCATTCTGGTCCTCTTGATGACCTCATCAGTAACATATTAGCATGGAACCACAAGTCCAAGGTGCCTAAGAGGCCTTGTTATATAAATGTTCCAGGAATTTGATCCTGAGTCAGCCTACTGAGGTCATACATTGAGATTATTTGGAGACTCTACCAAGGTGCATTAAGAAAATAGGTCATATCCCTTAGCACTTTGTGAGACCAAGGAGGGCGAATTGCCTAAGCTCAGGAGTTTGAGACCAGCCTGGGCAACACAGTGAAACCCAATCTCTACTAAAAATACAAAAAAAAAAAAATAGCCAGGCATGGTGGTATGCACCTTAATCTCAGCTACTCTGGAGACTGAGGCAGGAGAATTGTTTGAACCCGGGAGGCAGAGGTTGCAGTGAGCTAAGATCGCACCACTGTGCTCCAGCCCAGGTAACAGAGCAAGACTCCATCTCTTTAAAAAAAAAAAAAAAGAAAGAGAAAAGAAAAGAAAAAAAACAGGTCATATCCTCTCGTTGGTTGAGATAAAATATCAGAAACAAAAGTCATTCTAACTGGTCAAAGGGAGAGACCAAATAATTGTCACTGCTTTCTCCCCATACTAGTTCAAACGTCCACAACTGATGAACACAGTGTGACTGCGCAGTAGCTGTCTGGCAAAAAGGCAACGAATACATATTCGTGTCTGCTCAGACTTGGTGAGCAGCCATCAGAGTAGGGGGGATTGGAGGACAGCAGGGAAAACAAGAGGCATTACCAAGAATGAACAAGAAAAGAAGGCAGCAGATCCATTCCTAAGAGAAGAACTGTTTGTCCTTTTGGAGGCTCCTGGGGCTGCAGTAAGGTAACCACCACTTATCCTCACCCCCAATCCAAGAATCTTCCATGCTGAGAAATCCTAAGGCTGACATTGCAGACCCTACCAGGGCAAGCTGCTTTGCCTCTCTGAGTTTCCTTATCTCTCAAATGTGGATCTCAGTATCTGCCTCAGTAAGTTGTGATAATTTAATAATATATTACTTCTAATGATTATTTCATGGAGCATGCCAAAATAGGACATAAACATAGTATCCATCCTTGTTATTCTTTTCCCATTCCTCTCACATTCCACTCCAGAGCTGCTGGAGGCTTTCTCATCCTGCCCCATCCTTCTCCTCACACAGCAACGCAGCAGCTTACAGATCTCACCTCTCTGACATGGCTACATTTTCATAGCATTGTAAATAAACTTCTAAGGAACTTAAAAACACATTTGTCACCCAAGAAATTGTAAAGCCATATGTACCATGAATTCTGGAGCAGGGCCAGAGGGTGTAATTAACATGATTAAGTGAAGTTGCTTAAATGAAGAATCTCTTCACTAGCTTATGGCCACCAGCCTATAAAATGTGTCAGGCCTTTTTCTAGTTCAAGGTCTTAGAGTTGCACTATTGTTTTGTTTTTCCTCTAACCCCAGGAAACAGTCCCATGAGGCATTTTTATTAGCATCTAAAATGAGCCACAACATCTGCAGTTGAGCCATTGACTAAACAGACCAAAGAGTAAAACCTACAAATAACACCATTCAACATTCTATTTTCTGTAGCACAGCATTTCATTAGGTGGATCATTGACCAAAAGACATCAAATCATCCCAAGAATGTTTCCCAGACTTACTGACATAGCAGCATGCATGGAAATGACAATTCCTGCCAATTCTGTTTCCCATTTAATGGAATGAGTGAAAAGTGATATCACAGGTGCTATGGGAGTTATCAGAAGTAACAAGGGCAATGAAAGGTCTACCCAAGCTGCTTCTCAGCAAAGTCATTTTGGGGCTGTGTTTATTACAAAGGTGGTGAACAAGACCCAAACAATAACTTACTTTATGAAGGAGCTTGTCATCAATTGCCTCAAGTGGGCTACTGCTATTTTGATAAAATCGCATTCGTATCCTCTTGATAGACAGGCAAGTGGGGGACAAGAAAGCCCTTATTGGGGGAAAAACACTTGGGATTAACTTTGCCCCAAATCAATTGGACGTCTCAAAAGGGAAATAAATGGATCTCAGTGTTTTTGGAATACAAAATACTTCTGTCTCCTTACGTAGCACTGATGCCATTCATTCATACACATGCATTGCATATGTATCAGGGGTCGGGCATGATGGCCAAGCCTAGGGCACAGGCTGAACCAATGGGACAAGTCCCTGCTGTCCCAGAGTTTCCAGCAAAGGGGCAAGACAGATATTAAACAATGACAGCCTTATCAGCAATTTGCAGCTATGATAAGCACCATGAAGGAAATGTGTGAGGGTCTGTGAGCTCACCCAGCACACAGACCTGGGCTATTCTGGAGCAGAGGTTTTGCTGAGGACATGACCCTCAGGCTAAGACCAGAAGGATGAGCAAGAGTTAACCGGGAGAAGTTGAGGAGTAGAGGAAAGGAGGGCACTGGTGGTTTTCCAGGCAGAGAGAAGGGTATGTGTGAAGGTGCTGATGACAAAGGAGATTCGGCAAATCTGAGAAACTGAAGGTAGACCCATCTTTTAAGAGAGGGGTAGTGTCTTTGTAAGACTATAGGACACAGGTTGACCAGTCATCTGGTGTGGGCTGGAGCAGAATGTTTTCCATGTCCCTTTGTGGCTCTCTGGAGCCCTCAGCATGGACCAGGGGCCCTGCTGTCTCTCTGGGCTGCCATCTATGCACTCTGTGGCCTCACACCTACCACCAGTGGGGTTTCCTGTTTCTGAATCTATCTCCCTGACTAGATAATGTCATTATCTAGGACTCTGGGATGTTTCATTCCTATTTATTTCCCAGAACTCAGCAGACTTTTATTCAGTAAATGGGGAACTGACATGAGCTGAACAACATCTACAAGAGGCACTAAAGGATCAACATCACCAGCCACAAAGGGCCACACATTGTGTGGTTCTATTTATATGCAATGTGCAGAATAGGCAAACCCACAGAGATAAAAAGTAGATCAGTGGTTGCCAGGGCCTGGCACACAGAACACCAAAGAAAGCTGAGAAGAGACAGGTTCCCTTGAGTAAAACAAAGGAAGGATGCCAGTGAGACTTGGGAGCAAGCAACGTCCACCTTCCCTGGGAATTACGTCACGGGGAAACACCAGGAGGCAGGAAGACGGCAGAAGTCCTGACTGAGAATGCCTCTCTTGAGGCTGAAAGCAGGCTATGCAGTGGACTTTGACGGGAGGGAGGGGTGAGCCAGGGGCTGAGGCTTCTCACGCTCTCCTGGGCATCAATACAGAGGCCGGTGGATTGAGATGGGCAGTCAAGACTCAGAGGTTCCCAGACAGAGGCGGGGGTTGGCAGCCAGTGGTAAATGTGACTGTGGGCCCTGCCACACAGAGCAGCCAACTGTGGAGGGAAAATGAGGTGAGATCAATTCACTTGGGCTGAGGATAGTAGAGGGAGAATCTCAGTGTTTTTGTTCTACCCAGGCTGGCAGGCTTTTGGTGGGAACAATCATATTGTTCTAAGGGATCTTTTTCAAGTCACTTCATTTAGAAAATCTACAGATTGCTTCTGACAGCACAGGGGAGGCCTGGTTAACAGTGTGTGTCCCTCAGCTGTGTGTGTGTGTGTGTATGTGTGTGTGTGTGTGTGCATGTGTAAGAGGCAGAGGCAGACAGAGAGATGGAGACAGAGATAAAGGGGAGGGAAGGGGAGGGTGTTACTCAATGTAAGGCTTACATGACATAGCTGGATTTCCACCCCTCCCTAACGCTGTTTATCTTTAAGAAATGGGGCCCCTGTGGTAAAAAGTTCCCTTTGTCACTAGACTACCTGAAATGGGTAAAACCAAGATAGCTGACAGAACAACTTCAAGAAGACCTCAGGCTTCATTATAATCTAATTTCCATGCTAAATGGCACTCTCACTAGCACCATGACGGTTGACAATTGCCATGACAACAACTGGAAGAAGCCATAAAAGGAAGGCAGCACTCTGGTTCCCAGGAGTTCACCATCCATTTCCAGAAAAAGAGTCGACTATTCCTCCCCTAGATTCTACTACCTGACCTCTTCGTTAGAGAAACCCTGTATTTTAATCCCTTCACCCCTCACTAACTGAGAAGTTCATCTGAGAGCTGTGTTCCCCTCCCTCCCTCCCTCCCTCCCTCCCTTCCTTCCTTCCCTCCCTCCTTCCTTTCTTTCTTTTTTTGACGGAGTCTCACTCGGTCGCCCAGGCTGGAGTGTAGTGGCGCAATCTCGGCTCACTGCAAGCTCCGTCTCCCAGGTTCACGCCATTCTCCTGCCTCAGCCTCCGAGTAGCTGGGACTACAGGCGCCCGCCCTTGGCTACTTTTTTTTGTATTTTTTTTTAGTAGAGACGGGGTTTCACCGTATTAGCCAGGATGGTCTCAACCTCCTGACCTCGTGATCCACCCGCCTCGGCCTCCCAAAGTGCTGGGGTTCCAGGTGTGAGCCACCGCGCCCGGCCCCCACTTCTCCATTCTTTGGCCATGGAATAAAATTTACTCTGCTTGATGCTTACTTTTGATTTCATGTAATGTCTCTGTCACACTGAACAGGGAACGATCCCATCCTTTGGGGCTACTGAGTTTATCAGTAACAAAAGGAAGGAGAACTTGAGAGAGTCCTGTGAGTTATAGAATGTCATCAGACTTTGAAGCAAGGGTTTCTCCAAAGGGAATAGCTTCTGCCTGGGCTTCTTGAGGCCAGAAGTATTTTGTGCACAAACAGTCCAGCACAATATCCAACCACCAAAACACCTGCATTTGCAGGGTCAGTAATCTCCTGAAGTTTGGTAACTACATTTAGTTCATTTCAAATCACAGACCCTTCACAGCCCAATCTGGGAAAGCAGGCGAAGGCAATAATGGCCATCTTGAAAACTTCAACCCAGTTAGACAACTGTGTCTGTATCTGACCGAGACACTTTCCAACCTTAGTCTGGGTGGGAACAAATGACTGTTTCATTCTTTGAGACCGGTTTCCCTAGATTACATCCAGAGGGGGGTGTTCTTTCTTATAATGAAACACCACTCAGGGACCCAGGGCTGCTTCAAATGACCTATAATTAGAGAAACAAGTGTTTAAAATGTTATCTCCAAACCTAAAGTCACATGGGCAGAGCCTGGTTTCAGGTGCAGGGACTTGAGGGGTCAGGGGAGCTCATTATTAAGTCCAGTGATAGAGCAAACACCACATTCCTGCCACTAGTAGCTGTAACCCTCCATTTACGAGGAATCGTAATCACACAAGGGCGTGAATAGAGGCAGAAGTCAGTTTAATGACACGCTCTGCTCTTTGTCTGCATTTATTTTCTCTAGCAGGGGGATTCCACAAGTCTGAGCACTGTTAAACACACTGTCAATCACAAAGGGGAGCCTGTTTGAGAGGGTACCGGGCTTTGTAGTTAGCGTCATCTGCGAAACTCTCCAGCTTCCAGTTGACATGCAAGCCAGAATGTCACAAGGACACAGGGCACATCAGCCACATAGAGATTTAGTATTGATCCAGCTGGTTTTGTGTCTGGGGAAGTTCTGTTAAATGTTTCATGTGTCCTTCCCTATGCCATGGCCTGTGCCTCTGTATTTTCCTCACTTAATAAAACAATAGATTTGTATATTTGGAGTGGGCTGGGGAGGCAGAAAAGACCAGGGGGTGTCAATAACAGAAAATAACCATGATAGTGGAGAGACAGAGAGTCATTGGAGATTATGGGCTATTTATTGGATATGATGTGTAATCGAGTAATTGGATGTATTTCTACATTAGGCACAGTTGCTTAAATCAAAATTGAAATGGAGTCATAAAATCTCACAACATGAATGCTGTTAACTAAAGTCTATAATGAGGGGGACTTGAGTTTTGCTGATGCTAATGGGCCTCCATGTGAATTCTCGCCATGATGGATGGCCCCCGCCCACAGTCACTGGGCAGCTTAGTTCACCAAAGGAAAACAAGTTATTTATCTTAATCAGGCATCCTGCCTCAAACATCCACCTACACTGCAGTTGAAGACCTCACTCTGCCTCCCTCCTCCCAACGGGAAACCGTTGAGGGCTCCTTGATTTCTCCCTTAATAATTGAGTGTTGAATGAACAAAACTTTCCACTCTCAGAACATTGCTGCTTCTTAACATGTAACAGGGAAAAGAACTATGGAACTGGGGTACAATGTAGAACAGGGGTTCTCAAACTGGGCAGTGTTGACATTTGGGTTTGGATAACTCCTTGTTGGTGGGCAGGGGGCCTTGCGATTGTAGGACATTTAGCAGAATCCCTAGTCTCTAACCCTCCACCCACTGGATGGCAGTAGCACCTACCTCTCAAAGTTGTGACAACTAAAAAGATGTCTACAGACATTGCTAAATGTCCCCTGAGAGGTACAGTCAGCCTCTCCATCACCCAGTTGAAAACAACTGGTGTGGACAGTGGCAGACAGCCTCATGAGGGGGGAACTCAGGTAAAATGAGCCTGACTCAGAGCCCTTTAGAGTATCCAAACGAAGCTGTGTTCCTCTCCTGGTTGACTCCAAGGGTATAAGTTGAAATGATAATGACAGAGCTGAACTGGTCCTTGGGCTATATCAATAACCTGTACCAACAGATGCACGTTCAGTTTGGGCTGCAGAAGTCTACCATGATGCAGTTTTGGTTTGATTCCCAAATATGGTTTTAACCATCACTGAACATAAATTCTCTTGCTTTGCTTTCCCAACAGCCCACAGAGGATGAATATTCTCACTTGACTGCTCATAGTTCCTTTCTGTGCCTGTTGGATAGTATGGTTGGTTTCAAAGCCCCAGTTGCCAACAGGCCTTGGGTACACCAGCTGCAGCATAAATTTACCACTCTCTAAAGACAAGAGCTGTGATTCCACATTCCTTTACTCTGGCCACGTTACACTACCACAGCTAGGAAATGAGGAACAAAACAGGGTAGAGTCAGAGAGTGCTGAAGACAGGCCAGCCTCACATCTTAGGTTGTCAGTACTATGCAAAGGCTCTTACTGACTCCAAGATAAAGGAAAAACTGATTCAATTCTGAAACCCCCAAATCATTCCCGAATCCAAAGTGATTGAATAAAAGTGAAAACCTGGCATTTGTAGCTTACAAATAAATCATGTTCCAAAAAAAAATGTCTGCCTCCAAGTCAGTTGTTTGGGAAACACAACGCATCCTTCCTTAGCGAAAATGTACTAAGCAACAATGATACCACTTTGCATGTGTGTAGTAAATTTCCATTTACAAAGAACATTTGGACCCATTATTTCTTTCAATCTACGAAAAGCTCTGTGAAATATTTAGGGATTAATTGTTCCTGCGCTCAAAGAAGAAACTGGCTCACAAGGGATCAATGAGAAGCAGTCCATAAAAGGCCATTTGGCCCATAATATTCTTCATGGGGAAATGCCCTAACCACATATGTGGAAAACAATTCTGTGGGAAAATATTCCCAGTTCCAAGGCGGGGCTGTGCCTTTGTTTTTGTTGGCCCAGTGACTCTCTCCATCCTTCCGTCTCATGATGTGGCTTCTTATCATCCAGCATTTCATCCGAGTCATTGATTAAAAACAGAACAAGGGCAGGCTCAGACCTGTGACCCTCTTCTGACCTCCCCCATCAGGAGGGCCTCAGACCTTAGTAGCACTTGATACTTGCTGTGCTGTCCAAACCATGTCAGCATCTCTTTCCCTATACCCTTCACCCTTCAGCTCAAAGCTAGGCTGGGGTCACAGGACACCCAGAGCATGAGCTCCAGGAGGATATGGGGGTAGGGATGAGACTAGAAAGGAACAGGAGAAGCTGGGCAGTGCTGAAAAGAGCACAAGGTCTCCAGAGAAGATGAGGAAGGAGGGGCTCTCAGCTAGGAGTTCCCCTCAACTCTGTCCCCATCCATTGCCTCATTACTACTACAAAAAAAAAACCTGGAAAAGGTAGGAAAAAAGAAAAGGAAAAGTCTTGCAAGGCAGCTGGCTGCAAAGACAGAGAGAGGGGGGAGATGAACAATGCCCAGCAACAGTCGGAAAACAAGAAAGGGAGAGGAGGTTTGGGTCACAGACCTATCATGGAAGCCCATTCACCCAAAGAAGCTGGATTCAGGCACGTTTTCTTTGCTTTGTTTGGTTAAAATTGACACATATGGTGGAGCTCTTTCCCAGTGCTTCTTAGACTTCATCAGCAATGATAGGCTTGCTTAACAACCATGACGATTCTAGACCACTGCTCCAGATGCACCTTAACAACCATGACGATTCTAGACCACTGCTCCAGATGCACCTTAACAACCATGGCGATTCTAGACCACTGCTCCAGATGCACCTCTAGAGAGTCCAATTTCTAGATCAGGGCAGCCTGATCAAGGTGATCCAAGGATTCCCCTTGGGAAACCCTGCCCTAGACCCCACGCTTCCCAGAGGCCACACCTCCTGTGGACATCACCTCCGTCTCGGCTCTCTGTGTGCTCTGGCAGGTGGTGGTTTTCTTTCAGACAGACTGTGAGCTGCAGTTTCTCTGCAGAAGGACATGGCATGGTTTAGTTATATTTCAGGAACAAGCCCCTCCCTTGTTTTGTGTTATTTGGATTTTTAACAAATATTCCAGGACTGACATACGTGTGTGTATATATATATAGGCAAACCTCACCCCAGGCTTGCAGCTGTGGCTTGGAGCATTACTGGAATGAATCCCTGGCTGGATATACCTTTCAGAAGAGCATCTACGGTGACAAATATGTCCTTGTAGGCTGGATTCGATAAGCAAAGGAAGCCAAAAACCACTTGGCACTAGGTCTGAGAACTGAGGCAAGTGATCCAGCAGGAAAATCACATTTGGGTCTCAGGCCAAGGGTGACTCTAAACCAAAGGGCCTGACATTCTGGCAGGACTCAAGCAGTCTCCTGGAGCATGAAGGAGGAAGAAGACCTCCAATTATTTCCCCAGGAAGGCCAGACCTCATTTGAACCAGCATATTTGCTTCAAAATTACATCCACTCTGTCATTTCAGGCTCCTCTGGTTTCGGACAATGGGCACTTAGCTTCCCACAACTGGTGCATTTCTACACCCATCCCTGGAGGAGAGGGACAACCACGGTGAGGTCTAGTCAGGCCCTGCGCAGGGACTCACCTTGCCAGTGATGCTTGTAGTCACACATGCGGGACAGGGCAATCATCATGGCGCAGTACAAGGGCAGGATGGCAGCACAGAGCCGCCAGCTCTTTCCCCGCCCACTCTCGGTGAAGCAGTGCAGCTTTCCCGCCAAGTAGAACGTCGTGAAGCCAAGGCCTGAAAAGGCAACTGCCAAACAGAAACAGCAGGTGTTACTCTAGCAGGTGGTGAGTGGCAGGGAGTCAGGGCATGCTGGGCATTCCGTCTGCCACCTTGCACACCCTCAAGGCCAAGGCCATGTTGGCACCAGGCACTATCTAGGCAATCTGTGCTCCTGCTAGAACCAGGCTGCTATGAAACTTTAAACCATAAGAATAATCTTCCAGGGTTACATGTGATCAAAACCTATTTTATTTCATCCATTCATTCAACAGTTATTTCAGGAGTCTCCACTTTGTGCTAGACAGGCACTGCACTAGATGTGGGGAATAAAAAGATGCATCAGATACTATCTCTGGAGTCAAGAGGCTCATGATCTACTTGAAGGACATACCATACTAAGAGATAATTTTAATATAATGCGATACATTCTATAAGAAACGAGTACATACAGAGCAAAGGACTGTGAGAACTGCTTAGATCTGAAGGGTATGGGAAAGTAAAGGGGCTAGGATCAGCCCCAGGTTTTTGGCTTGGGAGACTGAGTGTACAATGGTGGCATTCAGTAAGATGGGACCAGCAAATGCTACAAAAGAGTGAGTTTCATGGAGAAGTCAGTGATGACAACTACCTTGTTTTCTGTCCGAAATAATGGTTATTATTTTTTCAGAATTGCAAAGAAAACTCATGACTGTGCTAAATCCATTGTTGAAAGCGTGGAGGTCTGAGTGTGGCATATATAAGCCCCAAGCTTTACATCCAAGCAGGTATAAAACATAGTTGGGAGCTCAGTGAGATTTAAGGTGGGAAGGGCTTAGAACAATGGTCCTCAACCAGGAGGTCCTCAACTCTCCAGGAGGCTGGAGAGTTGGCTCCCATTGGTATTGACCCCCATCCTGAGCCCTTTCAGGAGGAATAATGGACTTTATTCAAATCAGGTGGCTTAGCAAGTTTATCCACCTAATTACACTAAATGCGAGAAGCACAAAAACAAACAAACAAACAAACAAAAAAAACTGCCCTGGGGCTTTGTATGGTTATGGATGAAAGTCTCCAAGATCTGAATCAGAGGAGAGGCAGCCTTGGGTGTTGCCAAACTGGCATCTCTTAGGGAAACAAAGAAGCAAACAAATCAATGAACATAGTTGAGCTGTTGAGCTATACAGAATCACGTCTAATACCTGGGAAGCTTTAAAAAATACTGATAGCCAGATTCCATTGCCAGCCATTCTGTTTGTAGTGGTCTGGAGGGAGCCGAGAGAAAGAGAGAGAAAGAGAGACAGAGAAAGAGAGAGAGAGAGAGAAAGAGAGAGAGTGTGTGTGTGTGTGTGTGGTGGTCTGGAGGGAGCCGAGAGAAAGAGAGAGAAAGAGAGACAGAGAAAGAGAGAGAGAGAGAGAAAGAG